GCAAATGTATAACGATTTGTACAAAGAGATTGATGAGATCCTGCCGGCCTTGCAGTATTGCCTGGCACCCAAGGAGCAGCCTGAGAAGAAGGGTGCTGCTCTCCTCCGTGCGAGCGGTACGGACGACGCAGTGTTGGCGACCGCGAAGACGGGGCCGGAGTTGGACAAGTATGCGAAGCAGGTCTATGACTGGCTCGACAAGACTAAACTGTCGCGAGTCCGTATGATGGCCAATTGGCAAAGTTGCGGGGGGTTGGCCTTTGTGGCTCAATGCCACCATCGGGCTACCACCTGTTTCAGGTATCACGGCAACAGCTTTCACGGAGCTGGTCCATCGCAGCACGAGGTATCACTTCAAGACTTCCAGGCCGCTGTGAAGCTCCGCCACTCGGTCGGCCACAACGGTATGGACGTGGAGGGGGTGAGCGAGGTCTCCGGCGTCAACGACTTCGGGTCATCCTGAGGGCACGGTGTATGAGGCGAATCTTCCAGAGTCGTGCGTGCACGCTGGGGAGGCAGGTGCTGCATGCATTTAGACCAGAGTATCTCTTTTCTGCACCTCGGGCGTATATATATGAAGTTGGGAGTGGCAAAAAAAAACACACAAAAACGTGAACACCTGGTTCGGGGGTCTATGCTCTCGCGTCCCTGGTGGCACAGTGGGCTGCCGCTCCCGGGTGGCATCGTGGGCTGCGGGCGACGGCGACGGCGACGGCGACGGCGACGGCGACGGCGACGGCGACGGCGACGCAGACGGCGACGGCGAGGGTGACGGCGACGGCGGCGACGGCGACGGCGACGGCGACGGTGACGGATCCCAGCCTCAGCCTCAGCCTCGGCCTGCCTCGGCAACAGCCTGCCTCAGCGTCGGCGTCAGCCTACCCCAGCCTCAGCCTGCATCAGCCTCAGCCTCGGCCTCAGAGTGCTTCAGCTTCCTCTTCAGCTTCAGCCTCAGCCTCAGCCTCGGCCTCAGCCTGCCTCAGCGCCAAAAGTTGCCCCAATAATGTGACCAACTGGCTGCTGTCTTGGGGCCGCCACAGGCTGTCTTGGGGCCACCATGGGCTGTCTTGGGGCCGTCATAGGCTTTCTTGGGGTCACCATCGGCTGTCTTGGGGCCATCAAAGGCTGTCTTGGGGTCACCATGGGCTTTCTTGGGGCCACCATTTTCCTGGGGGGGGGGGGCCTCCCAGGGCCCAATGGTTTTTATGTATTCTCTTTAGGCCTTTGGCCCGAGCCGCCAGACCTATCTGGGGATCTTGGGGGGGCCTCCCAGGGCCCTGTTGTTATGTATTCTCTTTAGGCCTTCGGCCCGAGCCGCAAGACCTGTCTGGGGATCTTGGGGGGGGGCCTCCCAGGGCTCAATGGTTTTACGTATTTCTTAATGTCTTCGGCCCGAGCCGTCTTCCCTGGGCACTTCGGCCCGGGCCGCCGTTACATGGGGATCTAGGGGGGGAATCCATGAGGCCCGGGGCAAAAAAAAAAACCATGATGTCGGTATGCCTGCCTTGGTCGCATGTGCGGCGGCGGACGTCGCACGAACGGCACTTTGGCACATGTATGTGGTTCGTTTCTGTTCGTATGGGCTTGGCCACTTTGCCACATCAACATTCGCATGTATGCCGCAGCCATTTGTGCTCAAGGTGCATTTGCGTATCTTCGCATTTACGTATTTGCGTATCTTCGTATTCACGTATCTTCCATCTTACGTATCTCCTTTGTCATGGACGGGGACTGGGACGCCGCCGGAGAGTATACTCCATCGCAACAGCAGGTCGCCCAGCGTATGTGGGACTGGAACGTCCCACGCGGCGGCGAGAATGCTGTATTCGTATGGCTGAAGATGCTTGCCGAGAGCAGATGGTTCGCTACGGGTATCTACTTCCCCGCGGTGTGGAATGGAGTCATGGGTGTATGCCTCTGCGTATCAACGGCTGCGTCCACGCGAGTATCGAAGGCCAACTCGGAGGTGGACGACAACATGAAGCGTAGGGGCGGTATCGCCTCGCCTGAGTGGTTGGCGTTCGACGTCTTCTTCTACGCGAACCTCGTATTCGGGAACCTCCACGGTTTTCGAGATCCAGAAGGGCGGTTACTGGGCACGCTCGCGTATGTGCTCGAGCAGCTCAGCGCCACCGCCGGCATACGTGACTGGACACGCGACGTATTCGTCCGGCACGGCGAGTGGATGTATGCCGGCCTTCGCAGGATCTTGGATCGACTTCGTATTCGCGTTCACGCCGAGGTCGTATCCGGGCTTTCGTATAGGGCCTTGATGAGCTTGGACGTATTCATCGCCATTCACGCGCCATCCATGGGGTATGAGCCGCAGGGTATGGCACTGTGGGCTGCCGCGGGCGAGCCCGGGGTATACCCGACACAGGACCAATGGTGGCACCAGGAAGTATACCGACCGTGGGGCCAGTCGCCGTATGGGAATCTACTGGACTACCGACTGGACCTCGGTATCACGGTGCAGGTCCCGGGCGTCTTGGCGGTATTTCCTCTCGCAGCCACGGGCCCGGCATCCGCGAGCAGGCGTATGAGCATCGTGCTCGGACACATCCCTGATGTCGCCATTGCGACGCGTATGGCCTCCGTGCTGCCACCTGTCCAGCCTCAGGTATCGCCGCGGATTGGCGCCATCACGGACGGGACCCAAGAGGAGGAGCCTTCGCGTCTGTAGGCTGTATGCCGTTGGCCGCTCATGACAGTATGAGTGCCGTTCCGTATGCCGCATGCCCTTGGCCGCTCATGACAGTATGAGTGCGCTCTGGCAGTATGCTCCCTGTTCCCCCGCCGGCACTGTTCGCCGAGGCTGGGCGATAGAAAAAGAAAGTATGGCAGCATCGCGACAACCATCGGGACAACCATCGGGACAACCATCCGAACAACCATCGGGACAACCAGCGGGACAATCATGTGGACAACGATCGGGACAACCATAACCATCAGGACAACTATCGGGACAACCATGGGGACGACGATCGGGACAACCACGATCATCAGGACAACCATCGGGACAACCATCGAGACAACCATCGGGAAAACCATATCGTCTCTCTCTCTCTCTTGTGTATTCCCACATCCCTCAGGAATTTGCCCTAAAGATGTGATCAACCATCTTGTGCGTACGTACCATGATCATGTGTACCATGTACCCTACGGGTCATATGCAACTGATGCCTTTGCGTATTCCCACTTCGGCACAGGAATTTGATTAAAAAATGTGACGAACTCCTCTCTCTCTGTCTCTCTCTCTTTGTCTCTCTCTCTCCCGCTCTCTTCCTCTGTCTCGCCTTCTCTCTCTCAGTGTCTGTACCATGTCTAGCACTGGTAACAAAGGTATTTGTGTATCCCCACATCCGCCCAGGAATTCCACAAATGTGAACAACTATCTTGCGAGTACGTATCATCTCATGTGTGTCGTGCACACTATCAAATGTAACAGAGTTGTGTATTCCCATCATCCCAGGAACTTGACCCAAAAATGTGACCAACTCCGCTCTCTCTGTCTCTCTCTCTGTCTGCTCTCTGTCTCTCTCTCTGTCTCTCTGTATTATGTATTGTATGCCACAATTGCACCATGCTGGGCACATGCGCGCCCCGAATAAGTGACCAAGTTCTGTGGGTGTGTACCCCACGCCAGTGTAGTATCCACGGTCGTCCGCACGCCACGAAGTGAAGTGTCCCAACGTCATAGGGCGGGAAGCTGGGTTTTTCCACGTGAGATGGTCGCGAAGCCAGTCGTTACATCTCACGGGCATATCACGTGAGATGTCCCCCACGAAGTGGGGGTAGTGCTGGGTGTCGTAGAAAAAACCCTGGCACTGGGGAGAACACCACGGCTTCGGGTAAAATATTGTTGTTGTTGTTGTGTGTGTGTTGTTGCTGTTTATTGTTGTTGTTGTTTGTTGTTGTTGATGTTTTGCCTTTGCTGTTGTTGTTGTTGTTGTTGTTTGTTTGTTGTTGTTTTGTTGTTGTTGTTTGTTATATTTTTGTTTTACGACGCGAACATGTCGGTGCCCGCCTCTCGCGGGCGGGGCCCGGCTCAGCCCCTGCCCCGGCTCCGGCTGCGGCCGCGGCCTCCAGGGCGCGCCACAGCAGGGCGACGGTCCGCGCGAGGTGCCGGGCGCACTCGGCCTGGGAGGTGCCCTCGGCGCACTGTTGTTGTTGTTGTTGTTGTTGTTGTTGTTATATTTTGTTTTACGACGCGAACATGTCGGTGCCCGCCTCTCGCGGGCGGGGCCCGGCTCAGCCCCTGCCCCGGCTCCGGCTGCGGCCGCGGCCTCCAGGGCGCGCCACAGCAGGGCGACGGTCCGCGCGAGGTGCCGGGCGCACTCGGCCTGGGAGGTGCCCTCGGCGCACTCCTGGCAGTCCCCCTGGCTAGAAGAAGAAAGCGCGGCGTGCACATGAACCCAGACATGGTCGCGTCGTGAACCAAATCAGGACGGGAGGTCTTTGGCCGTTTTTGGTCTTGGGGGGCCCTCGCCGGGCCTCGGGGCCGCCAAAAAACGACTCAGGATGAAAAATAAGTCCTGGGGAAAGGGTCGGGACTTCCAGGGGCGCCGTCTTAAAAAAATCAGGACGTCGCATGTCTGGGAACTTGTGGCGCTCCGCGCGGATTTCTCGGATCTGCTCTGGGCCCCTCTCTGGCGCGCGGGGCGCGCCAAGGGCGGCGCCGGAGGCGCCGCCGGAGGGGACCCAGCGCGGATCCCCAAAAATCTGCGCGGAGCGCCAAAAGTTTATGTCTATGGCGTTTTTTCTTCTTCGAATGGAGATCGGCGACCTCGTCCCGAAGGAACCGTGCGGAAAAGTCCAGAGGGTCGTGGCCCAGCTGCTCCAGAAGCTGGCGGTGGACCCAGCGGAAGCCGTTCTCTGGCAGCGCAGTCTTCAGGAGATGAGTGGCTAATGAATTGGCCGTCTTCCCCCAGCTCCGCGCATATACTTCGGATTGCAAATGTCATTGGCCCACCAGCGCTTGCTCCATACGACAGAAGCAGTTAGGTCAGCTTAGGGTCCCAATGATGCCCAACGAAGAACGCACCTGTGTTGCGCAACATGGTCTCGAGTGCAGTCTCGCGTGATTCGAACCACAGTGTTGTGAAATTCGGATCAGCACCGTGCCGCAGCATTTCTTGCACAACTGTGTCATATCGGTTCATCGCCGCAGTTCCCAATAACCCATCAGCATTCGCACCAGCATCCAGGAGCTCATTCAAAATTGCATCGTCGAATGGTAGGAGAACGTGCCTATGTTCTGATCGTACGGTGCCAAGATTGAGCACGAACCATTCAAGCGGGGTGCTTCCCGAGAAACACGGGATATTGAAATCAGCGCCTAATTGTAGCAACATGCGAGATGTTTGCATGGAGCTGCTGTCGATCACGTGCGCCCATGATAATGCGAAGAGATGCTGTGCCATGCTCGTGCGTAAGTTCATTGACCCGGAGGAGACCAAGCTTCAGCTTCAACCAGAGCACAGCAGCTGGCATCTCAAGGACGCTGGCGTACGAATCTGCCAGATGGTCCCAATCATGTGATGCCAGCACAACTTCCAGCTTATCCCTCACTAGGCGGACGTGCGATCGGCTCAAATACTGGAAGCAGCCGAGGGTGTCGACAGGACCGATCAAACTGAGCAATGCGGGTGACAATCTTGCGAGCACCTCGCCGAACAACACCGACCTACGGTCCATCCTGCCAGCAGAAATTATATGGGCCGGTACGTACATGATGTCCATGCTCCCGCGGTCCATGATGCCCAGCCGGCAAGCATTGCAATCCAGATGTGGCTTCGGCGTTTTGGGCCACGTCGGCTACGGAGCATCGCCTCGCGCAGCCTCATTGATGTCGCGAGCCATGCCCTCTTGGCCTGCGCAATGCGCGTTGGCCGCCCCTCTGGAGGTCGACCGACGTAGTCACACGGAAGGATACAGGGGAAGGATACGTGGGGACCAGCTCGGGCTAGTAGGTCCGCGACAGGCCCGAGACAGCGAAACCTCACGCTCCTGAACCTCCGCTCGACATGGTTAGAGCCCCCCTTCTTGGGGCCGCGGGCCTGGCGGAGTCCGGCGCGCTCCCTCCCCAGAAGCTGAAGTCAGGGGAGCGGGTCCGGAGTTCTGGGGGCCCCGCGCTGGAACAATCAGGACACAGGGTGTCTCCCGCAGGTGATGGGGGATCGGGCGACATGCCCGCAAGCGCCCATGCGGGCAAGCACTCGTGCGTCCCAAGCCCGCCGTCGCTCGGACGCCCATGCGCCGTGCATTTTTCGACGTCGTGTGCTTGCTTCTCCGCAAGATGATCCAAGGTGCTCCTTGAGGGTCCTCGTTGAGGAAAACATGCACGCGTCCGAGATATGCCACGCCGAAGGCGGAGGAGGAGGAGGAGGCGGAGGAGGAGGAGGCGGAGAACGAAGAGGACGAGGATGATGATGATGATGAGGAGGAGGAGGAGGAGGAGGAGCAGGGGAGGAGGAGGAGGAGGAGGAGGAGGAGGAGGAGGAAGAAGACGGCGAGGAGGAAGAAGAGGAGGTTCCGACATCTCTTGCCCCAAACGCTCGCCATCGCCTGGACGTCCCTTTACCGTGCATGCTTCGATGTCGCGCGTACATCTTTCGCACGAGGGTCCAAAGTCCAAGGTGCTCCTCGAGGGTCCTCGCCGAGAAGACATGCCCACGTCCGAGCGATGCCAAGAACAGTCCTGGCACCGAAGGGATTCGTGAGGCGCTGTTCCCCGCACCTGGCTGCCAAGGCACAAGCACGTAGGGAGGGTCGGGGACTGTGCGCGCGAGGATTTTGAGAGAGTCCGGCACGTGATCAGCAGCATGGGGGTTAGCATGATGCGTCTTGCGACCGCAGCCTTCTTCCCCAAACTCTTGACGAGCGGCCCGATGCCGCGAAAGCTCGAGCATTTGGAAACACATGCCGATCGCTGCATCTCTCATTTTGACTCGGACTCCAGGGCGCCCAGTGAATCCGGGGAGTCCAGAAAGTTCAGGGGTGTCCATGGAGTCTAGGCAGACTACGTCGATCCAAACAATCCGCGCGGACCTCCGAACGTTTAGGTTTGTAGAGTTTTTTCTTCGACTGCGGGCGGGAGCTCTTGCTTAGCGTGTCGCAGCGGCGCCCCTGGCGACACGCGATGCTTTGTGAGAAGGTAGCGTCTAGCTCCGCTCCCGCAGGGCTGGAGGCTGGGAACAACTCGGGACGTTGCCGCTTGGGAATGGGGAAGCGGATGGCGTGCAGCGCCCAAGCGCGGTGGGCCAGAACAGGGCAGAGCGACGCGCTGAGCCGAAGTTCCCCACCGTGGGTGCATGCAATTGGCGATTCGGCGAATGCCCCGACACCTTGTGGAGCATGACGGAGATGCCAAGCACGGTCTGGGGGATGGAATTCTGCATGAAAGTCCGGCACCAGCGCGCTTCCTGCAACCGGGGGGCCCTGGGCCGCCAGCTCCTCCTCGCTCTCCGAAGTCGCTCTCTTCCCCTCCTCCTTCTCCTCCTCCTCCTCCTTCTCCTCCTCTTCTCCTCTTCTCCTCTTCTCCTCCTCCCCCTCCCCCTCCCCCTCCTCCTCCTCCTTCTCCTCCTCCTCCTCCTCCTCCTCCTCCTCCTCTTGCTACTCCTCTTGCTCCTCCTCCTCCTCTTCCTCCTCCTCCTCTGCCCTCCTCCTCGTCCTCCTCTCTCTCCTCTGCCCTCCTCCTCCTGCTGCTCCTCTTGCTCCTCCTCCTCCTCCTCCTCCTCCTCCTCCTCCTCCTCCTCCTCCTCCGCCTCCTCCTCTTGCTCTTGATCTCCTCCTCCTCCTCCTCCTCCTCCTCCTCTCCTCCTCCTCCTCTCCTCCTCCCTCCTCCTTCCTCCTCCCTCCTCCCTCCTCCTCTGCCCCTCTCTTGCTGCTCCCTTCCTCCTTTGCCCTCCTCCTCCTCCTCCTCCTCCTCCTCCTCTTCCCACCTCCTCCTCCTCCTCCTCCTCTTCCTCCTCCTCCTCCCGTAATTTCCCTTTTTCCTTCTTCTCCTCCTCCTCCTCCTCATCGTCCCTCCTCTACCCTCCTCGTCCCCTCCTCCGCCTCCTCCCCTTTTTCTTCTCCTCCTCCTCCTCCTCCTCCTCCTCCTTCCTCCTTCTCCTCCTCCTCCTCCTCCTCCTCCTCCTCCTCCTCCTCGTCCTTCTCTACCCTCCTCGTCCCCCTCCTCCTCCTCCTCCTCCTCCTCCTCCTTTTCCTCCTCCTCCTCCTCATGCTTCTCCCCTTTCTTACCATTTTTCCCCTAGGAGCATGACGAGGCATCGAGGACCGATGACGGGGAGGGATCGAGGTCAGGGGGCGGCCAGCTTGTGCCAGTCCTCCTCCTCCTCCCCCTCCTCCTCCTCCTCGTCCATCCGTTTTTCCTTTTAAAAGCGCTTCCCTGTCGCCCCTCCGAATATGTCGATAGGGCGGGCCGAGCGCTTCGCCTGGAATTTCCTCACACGTTTGGCTCTGACGCTCTCTCCTTTGTCTGACAAGGGCGCGCCCGTCGCTTACTCCCGACTAAGAGGGCCCAGCTTCAAGCTACCCCCCCCCCTCCCTTGGAAAAGGGTGGGGGCGTCCGAAACTACCCCCCCTCCACCCTTCTGCGTGGGCATTTTTAGGCTGGGGGGGGGCCCAACTAAACGGGGTGGGGTTTGGAAGCTCCGTCCCCCTTCTCGGGGCCCGGGGTCAGCCCGGGCTCCCCTTTCAAGGGGGGTGGGGGCTTCCGAAGCTACCTTCCGTCTCCTTTTGTTTGGATTTTGTAACTGGGGGGCCCCTTGCTGGAAAAGGGTGGGGGGGCTTGGAAACTACACCCCCTTCCCCTCCTTGTCGGGCCTTGGGGTAAGCCCGGGCTTCCCCTTCCACATGGGGGGGCTTCCGAAGCTACCCCCCCCTCCTTCCGTTTGTTTTTCCAACTGGAGGGCCTTTGGTGGCGTTCCTTTGGTTTTCGGCGCCCCTTCGGTTTTCGGTGCTCCTTTGGTTTTCGGCGCTCCTGTGGTGGTTGTCGGCGCTCCTTTCCTTTTCGGCGACCCTTTTGGTTTTCTGCGCACGCTTTCTGGTTTTCGGCGCATCGTTGGTTTTCGGCCTCTTGGACTCCGGCGCCCCTTTGGTTTTCGGCGCCCCGCTGGTCTTTGTGGAGCCTTTTCTGGTGTTCGGTGCGCCTTGGTTTTTGGCGCCCGTAGGTTTTCGACGCCCTTTTGGTTTTCGGCACCCTTTTGATTTTTCGACGCCCTTTCGGTGTTCGGTGCACCTTTGGCTTTCGTCTTCGGTTTTCGGCGCCCCTCTGGTTTTCGGCACCCCTTTGGGTTTCGGCCCCCTTGTGTTTTCGGCAACCTTTTTCCCAACCATCCTGTGGTGTTGGGTCCTCGTTTTGAAGAGACGGTGCCCCGCGTCTCCTTCCTCCTTCCTCCTCCTCCTCCTCCCTCCTCCCCCTCTTCCTTGCGTTTCACCCGCCCAGTACAGCGTTTCGTAGCCCCATAGGGAGCTCCGCCGAAGGCCCCCAGTGCTGCCGTCCGCATGCGTCCCCCACACCCATTTCGGCACACCCCTCACACGTTTCGTGGCCCCACAGGGAGCTCCACCGAAGGCCCCATGGCTGCCGTCCGCATGCGTCCCGCACACCCATTTCGGCACACCCCTCACACGTTTCGTGGCCCCACAGGGAGCTCCACCGAAGGCCCCATGGCTGCCGTCCGCATGCGTCCCGCACACCCATTTCGGCACACCCCTCACACGTTTCGTGGCCCCATAGGGAGCTCCACCGAAGGCCCCATGGCTGCCGTCCGCATGCGTCCCGCACACCCATTTCGGCACACCCCTCACACGTTTCGTGGCCCCACAGGGAGCTCCACCGAAGGCCCCATGCTGCCGTCCGCATGCGTCCCGCACACCCATTTCGGCACACCCCTCACACGTTTCGTGGCCCCATAGGGAGCTCCACCGAAGGCCCCATGGCTGCCGTCCGCATGCGTCCCGCACACCCATTTCGGCACACCCCTCACACGTTTCGTGGCCCCACAGGGAGCTCCACCGAAGGCCCCAGTGCTGCCGTCCGCATGCGTCCCGCACACCCATTTCGGCACACCCCTCACACGTTTCGTGGCCCCATAGGGAGCTCCACCGAAGGCCCCATGGCTGCCGTCCGCATGCGTCCCGCACACCCATTTCGGCACACCCCTCACACGTTTCGTGGCCCCATAGGGAGCTCCACCGAAGGCCCAGGCTGCCGTCCGCATGCGTCCCGCACACCCATTTCGGCACACCCCTCACACGTTTCGTGGCCCCACAGGGAGCTCCACCGAAGGCCCCAGTGCTGCCGTCCGCATGCGTCCCGCACACATTTCGGCACACCCCTCACACGGCTCCACATTCGAAGGCCCAGGCTGGTCCGCATGCAGTACACCCATCGGACACCCCTCACACGTTTCGTGGCCCCACAGGGAGCTCCACCGAAGGCCCCATGGCTGCCGTCCGCATGCGTCCCGCACACCCATTTCGGCACACCCCTCACACGTTTCGTGGCCCCACAGGGAGCTCCACCGAAGGCCCCAGTGCTGCCGTCCGCATGCGTCCCGCACACCCATTTCGGCACACCCCTCACACGTTTCGTGGCCCCACAGGGAGCTCCACCGAAGGCCCCATGGCTGCCGTCCGCATGCGTCCCGCACACCCATTTCGGCACACCCCTCACACGTTTCGTGGCCCCATAGGGAGCTCCACCGAAGGCCCCATGGCTGCCGTCCGCATGCGTCCCGCACACCCATTTCGGCACACCCCTCACACGTTTCGTGGCCCCACAGGGAGCTCCACCGAAGGCCCCAGTGCTGCCGTCCGCATGCGTCCCGCACACCCATTTCGGCACACCCCTCACACGTTTCGTGGCCCCACAGGGAGCTCCACCGAAGGCCCCAGTGCTGCCGTCCGCATGCGTCCCGCACACCAGGTGTGTGGCGTGCCGACATGGGCGTCGCGGCGCGCGGGCGCTGCCGTCGGGGTTCCCAGGGAAGCCCCCTGCAGAGGCGACGCTCAGAGTCACGAGTACCGAGAGTCACGCAGACCCAAACTGTTCACAGTCGTATACATACATTTACACTGGGCGTATCCATGCACGCATTCATGCGAATAGAATCAATCGCGCGCAGATTCATTCATAATCAGACTCGCTCGCGATCCGACTCGCACGCGCTCAAGCTTTCATATTCGGACCTATCGTCTTCGTTCGTGTTGTGTACACTGCCACGCATTTCGGCACACCCCTCATACGGCTCGTGGCCCCATAGGGAGCGCCACCGAAGAAGATATTCCCAATTGCGGTACTCTCAACTGCATATGGTTGGGTCCTTCGCCAGGCTAATTGTTTTCGGCGCCCTGTCTGTCTTCGGAGCTTCTATGATTTTCGGCGCCCCTTTGGTTTTTCGGCGCCATTCTATTTTTCGGCGCATCGTCAGTTTTCGGCGCTCCTTTGGTTTTCGGCGCTCCTTTTGACTTTCGGCGCTGCTTGGGTGCTCGGCGCCCCTTTGGTTATTGGCGCCCTCTTGGTTTTCGGCGCTCCTTTGGTTTTCGCTGTCCTTTTGGCTTTCGGCGCCCTTTTGGTTTCTGGCGCATCTTTGGTTTTCGGCGCCACTTTTTGTGTTCGGCGCTTCTTCGGTTTTCGTCCCCTGTTGGTTTTCTGCGCCCCTTTGGTTCTCGGCGCCCTTTCGGTTTTTGGCGCTCCTTTGGTTCTCGGAGCCCTTGTGGTTTTCGGCGCTCCTTTGGATTTTCGGTGATCTTTTGGTTTTCGGCGCCGTCTTGGCTTTCAGCGCCCTTCGATTTTCGGCGCCCCTTTGGTTATCCACACCGTTTTGGTTTTCGCTGCCATGTTGGTGTTTGGCGACCCTTTGGTTGTCGGCGCCCTCTTGGTTTTCGGGGCCCCTTCGGTTTCGGCGTCGTTTTGAAGTTCGGCGACCCCTTGGTTTTTGGCGCCCGTTGCGGTTTCAGAACTCTTTGGTTTTCGGCGCCCTTTTGATTTTCGACGCTGCTCTGGTTTTCGGCGCTCTGTTGGTTTTCCGCGCATCTTAGGTTTTCGGCGCCCCGCTGGTTTTCGGAGCTTTTTTTGGATTTTCGGCACCTCTGCGCCTTCTGGTTTGCGGCGCCCCTTTGCTTTTCGGCGCTCTGTTGGTTGTTGGCGCTTGATTTTCTGCGTTTCTTTGGTTTTCGGCTTCCTTTTGGTTGTCGGCGCCCTGTCGGTTTTCGGCTCCCCTTTGGTTTTCGTCGCTTGGGTTTTCAAGCGTCCTTTGGTTTTCGGCGCCCTGTTCTCGGCGCGCCTTCGGTTTTCAGCGCCCTTTCGGTTTTCGGCGTTCCTTCGGTTTTCGGCGCGGCTGTGGATCTCGGCGCCCTTTTGGTTATCGGCGCCCGTTTGGTTTTTCGGCGCCCTGTTGGTTTTCAGAGCGCT